ACAAACATCAATTATTATACAAATATACAAACATACATACATACGTACATACATACTTTATTGCTTTTTTGAGGTTATTCTACACGATATTTCGTCAATTGTGAATGAATTTCAGTATTTTGTATTTATGTGCAACCCTCATTTAAAGATGTTTTATTCAGTTGTCACTACAAATATCCTTAGACATTCTAAATATATATGTTTTAAAATTTTATTTTCATTGCTACATTCTTTCCTATTTCTTTGAATAAATAAATAAAAAATATGAAAAAAAATATGAGTATGATACGACCCTTTAAACTCAGAAAAATAAAGCACGCGAAAATATTTTATACTTATATCGCTTACAAGAAGCTATTTTATTCGTGCCATAAGCTATCGATAACTTAAACTGCCATTCACGTGCAAGCTTTTCGGTGCATTCGTCAACGAGTTATGTCGTGAAAGGTCTAAAGTATAGGTAATGTGGGATTGCCTGAGTTGTTGCATTTGAGACTTGAGTCTGGGTCTGAATTTGACTATGCAGTGAATGCCGCATTTAAAGACGGCCATACACGATAAGTCTCTTCGAATAGTTGAAGAAATATATATATTTTTTTAACAAAATGCTTATTATACGCACAAACATATTGTTAGTACCATTTTTTGATTTATGTTTACTTCTTAATCGAGTTGTGTGATTTTTTTTATATTTTCTTACGCTTACAAAAGTTTAACGTGAATGGCCAGCTTAAGAAATATTACTTCACTCATTACAAACGTATGTGTGTTCACACGTAATGTCGGCGTGTTGATAGCCAACATCTATGGCACTGCTAATTGACATGAATAGCCTTGTGTGGAGCTTTACTTTTAAACATTTGCCACATTAAAATAACCGCTTTTTACGACAGCATGCTTTAGGAAGTTAGTAATCAGTGTTAATATTATTATTACTACACACATTATTATTAAGACGATACGTTTGGCTCAGTTTGTAGTGATTCTACTTGCTGTGCCAGCGGTCGCGGGTTCGAGTCCCGCTGGGGGTATTCATTTGTATGATGAGCACAAATGTTTCTACTCCAGTCATGGGTGTTTATATTTATAATATGTATGTATTTAAAGTTATATATGTGTAGTGTATCAACTATCTGGTATCCATAACATAAGCCTCGTAGCTTACCATGGAACTAGATGGAGCTGTGTGTTAATGTCACAACATATAATAAAAAAAAATTATGAATGCGAAAGTATGTTTGTTATTCCTTTGCATTTTCATTGAGTAAAAAATCTACGTAATTCATTTATTTAAAACAAAGGAATAAAATAGACGGAGTGTTTAGAATATAATGTTTGAAGCCTGAAGTTTTATTGTAATTAGTTATTTTACCTTATACCCGAACCAACCAAGGGTAAGTCGGTAATAATTACCCTAATCTCATTAAAACAAAGAGTATCGTTGGATATCGTCATTCTCAAGCAAGCGGGTAAAACTAGTAATATTTTATAAATAGCTATTTGTATATATTACTATTTTAGGTAATATCTTTATAATCAACTTCTTCTTACTTTTGACTTTGTAGTGATATCATAATTTATTTTGTACGGTAGAAGGTAAGCTTTTGATTTTAAATACTATTAAGGCTTGATTATTTTAAGCTTTTTAAGTGCTTGCTTTAACAATACTTTCCTCTAACATGACATTCATCAAATTATCATACGCTATTTATTATAAAGAGATTTTTTGAAATTAAACCTCTTTTGGGACGTTTGGAAAAAAATATGAGAGTAAACTTTTTTTTCGCGCGCACACCGACAGCCAAAAATCGACATGGTGAAGTTAGCTGAAAGCCATATGAAGTTAGCTGATAACTGTTTGTTGCAATAGTGACCGTTGTTAATTTATTTTTATAATTATCATAATATATTAATTGCATGCTCTTTAATCATACTACGAGTATTATTATTTATTGTAAATTGTATTTTATTCAGGAAATAAAAAAGGCTTAATTATTATTATTAGAAATACGTTTTTAACTATACTACGTACATACGTTTCAGACTTTCCATACATTTTTTCCAAAATCTGTAAATGCAGTTCAGATATCTCAAAAACTTATGGATAGTCTCCTAGGAACGTTTTACTGTAACAATAGCAGTTAAGGTACCTGCCCTTACTGTCCCGTCTCAAAAATCCACCCTGTATATTTGCAAAGGACTTTAAAGGGATCTCTAAAAACGATTTATTATGAATGGATGAGAAAGAAAATGTTAGCAAATTAACGCAATGGAAGAAAAATATTATGTACACTTAAACTATTTACATATTTATAAATATATATACAACTAAACACCTATAATGCTTAATATATATGAGTTATTATATTAATAATTCCATTAGAAATAGCTTTAAGTTAGCAAATCATAACGTTACTGTAGGGCCCAATGAATTTAGGTACTCTAATAAATAAAATATGAATCGGAATATGGATGGAGGGTGCCTACGAATTTAATCCTTTTCAATGTCGCTTGTGCATAATTCATTAAGGTGAGGTCTCGTTTGAAAGTATTTAGTATGAGGTAAGATAAATTTCTGTATATCTTGTTATTGAGTTGAAAGTTCAAAGAAATAGCGAATAACTTTAATATAATCTATACTTACATACATATACTATAAAGAGGTAACGTTTGTGAGTTTGTGACGTTGTAGGGGGTAAACTCTGGATGTACTGAACCGATTTAGATGAAAGTTGGTAAGAAGATAGTTTAACGCCCTGGAAAGGACATAGGATACTTTTTATCCCAGAAATCATCTCTTAAGGGGGTGAAAATGGGAATGTAAGTTTGCATTGGGAATCTGAATTGCTAGGGACGAACCCGAGCATAGCGAAGGTGAGTCGCTAGTAATATATACTTTAGTTTTTAAATATTATGTACCTTAATGATCCACCCACTAAGGAACTGTGGGTTGAGTCCCATTCGCAACTTAAATAAGTCTCATTTCTTCTGATATAAATAAAAAAAAATTTTTATCGTATCGAAAGCGAAATAAGAAATATTTCGATGAATTATTCATAATTAAAATATTTTATTTGAATATAAATGTATGATTTTAATTTTGTTTTATTAGTCTCCTCTAGAAAACTTAAAGTTCCTAGTTTTGAAGTTTATAGTTGTAAAACAAGTATAATAATTTTCCAAGAGTTTTCTTTAAAGCAAATATAAAAAAATTAATCTCTATATTAATTCTAAAAGGACTTTTCGTGTGTTTTATCTAAATTAGTATCACTTTGCCGTATCAATGTACCATAATAGTTTCGTAAATCGTTTTAATTACTGTTATTATTGGTACGATCAAATGGATACGTTTACAAATTAGCAATATAAACTTGTCATACGTTATTACCCTACTTAATATGCTAAGAAATTCAGCTCCAATACACATACTAATGCTATGTTAAAATTAATACATATTTTATAGTATGACACCATCTTATATTTCTTATGTAGATTATAGTTCAGTTGATATCCCACTGCTGGGTACGGGTCACCCATCATTGTGAGGGAATCGAGCCATAGTCTACTATGCCAAGATTAGAAATGTTATCATATATACAGGTTTCTTCCCGATATTTTTAACCAACTTCCAAAAAGGAGAAGGTTCTCAATTCGTCGGAATGTTTTTTTTATATATGTTCACCGATAACATTATTATCGATACAGAGACCGAGTCTATAATTTGTCTGTCTGTCTGCCTGGGAATGCATCGCTAGAAAAACGATGGACAGATTTTGATGAAATTTGATATGATTGATAGCTTAGGACTTAGGTTATCCAAGTCAACATATAGGATACTTTTCACTGCGGGAAAATATCTCATCTCTGAGAAATTTATACTTATCGTTAAAACGTATTTACGAACGAACCCGAGTGGAGCGAGGGTGAGTCGCTAGTATCCGATAATCCCGCATTATACCAAGGTTGCAATGATAATTAATTTGTGTAGTTGCTATAGTAACTAGCGAAACGTTCTCGTTTTTCTCAAACTTATCTCCTTTTCTAATCTTCACTAATATTAAGAGGTAAAGTTTGTAAGTTTGGATATAAAGGATAATCTCTAAAGCTACTGATACGATTCTGAAATTTGTTCCACTAATAGGAAGCTATATCACCTAATGCTATATAGACTTGTTTATTACTAAAATAATGTATTTACAGTAAGAAATCATAATAAATTTAGTTTAAGTAATTGTAATTAATTAAAAAACTCGACTGCATAAAAGCTAACTAAAAACGGATACATACACATTGCCGCGAGATGTAGGTACATAACTGTGTATACAATATTCATTGGTCAACTTGTTTTCATCTCTATGGTTAGTTTTTATGCAGCCGGTTTTTTTTAATATATTTTTTCATATATAGGGTTTTAGTTTTTGCCAATTAGACATTTGAAGTCATATTTAGCAAATTTTTATCCATAAAATTATTAAATAATTTATACTTTTAAACATATAAATTGTATATATTTTTATTATCGCCTCTTAAAACCCTTTATATTGATTGCTCACGCGATTGGTTTGGAAGAATATTTTTTTAAAGACTCACAACTTGGCCTATGAAATACGTCTTTCTTTCTCTTAATTCTTTCTTGATTCTTTCTTTTAATTTTTAACTATCTTAAAATAGTCTATGACACTCGAGTTATCAAGACAAAACACGGGCTTGGTCTCTAGAACGCCACATAGGAACAAACATACATACATATGTACATAGACTGATAAACACATTACATACTTTGCGTCGTGTAGTCGGGTAAAAAAAATATCCAGAGATGTAGCTTAGATGTCTTAGATGGCTTTATTTACATGGTTCTACCTACATTAAGGGAAGAATCAGTGAGAAAAAATAAAATACTTTGTTTTTTTTTTTGTAAAGAATTTAATAAAGCCTTTTAAATAATATTATAAATTAAGAAAATTATACGCATTAGTATCTGTTATTCCAGTTCCATGTTAAACTGTTTTAAGAACTAAGGACTCGCCTCCCAAAATTTCTACATTATCCGCTTTAAGTACATCCCTGTAACAAAAAATATACATATTTATTTAAGTTTGTTTACTATAAAAGTTTTTTTTTTACCAAAAATTATACCAACATCAAAATCATTTAAAAGACTTACACCACCTTTGAGGGTGATTTTTTAGAATAAAATAAACAATTATTAAAGTATTTGAGAGTAACATCATGTATGATATATGAGTACATATTTCACTATGGAATAACAAAATTCTTAAAGCGTAGTTCGTATAAAAAGATTTACACCGAGGTCGGGAGCGCTTATTTTTAAGCATTTCTTGTGAACGTCAATTCATATTATAATTTAATATTATGTTTTTAACTTTGAAACTATTGTATAATTTATAAGAAAAATGAAATATGCTGGTTTGTTTGAACCGAATAGGCTCTAAAACTACTGAACTGATTTAGATGAAATTTGGTAACAAGATAGTAGATAGAGATAGTAGAGGCCCTGGGAAGGACATAGAATAGTTTTTATCCTGGAAATCAGCCCTTAAGAGGGTGAAAATGGGGATGAAATTTTGTATTGGGAAGCAAACTAGTTATAATTATTGTAGAGCTATTAGGTGTAAATATTTTATTTCATAATATTTTTTAAAGCTCAAATGAGTGTAAAGTTATATCTTTATTCGTTTTTAATGAAATATAAGCGTCAATGCTCAATTATTCTCCTTGCAAAAACCGGAAACATCGTTACTTGCATTCTAACAGCGTAACTTTACATATAAAATAGTATAATTAACCTACTTATTCAGTGATAGGAATTTACTCATTTAAGTTATGCTTTAAGCCTTGAAACATTTTTAATTGTATAAATATACATATAAAACAAACGTATGTTTATTTGTGTGTTTATATAGCTGTTGTACCATGAATATTATATATATTAGAATAAAGAAATATAATAATAATGCATAAGCAATACTTATAAAGTCAAAATTAATATAATAATATGAAAATAAAAATAATTTTGGTTTCTATGAAAGGTACTAAATATATTTAAAAAAATATTAAAGTTTGTGTTTAGATGTATCGATTTAGGCGTTACATACCCAACTTTCTTCGGAGATTGAATACTGGTCACAATGGTTTTCAAATCTCCTGACACATTCTCAAAATAAGTGAGATCAATGGTGTATGATTCACCTCTGAAGTTCACGATCACGATGTATATTTCACCATCGTGCCATCTGGAAAAATAAATTACATTTTCATATACACATAAGCATTACTAGTTGTCTCCTGTGACTTTGCTCACGTAGTCTATCGATAATAATTCTCGTATTAATTATACGAGTATATGAATTGTTTAGTTTTTTACTACGTGTTAATATCTAAATTCACGTTCTAACAAAATCTGAAGTGTTATATGCTTCTTTTTATTGCGTAGTTTTCGCGCAGTTTTATATTAAGCAGTTTCTTGAGTTCTTAGTTTAACTAAACTACTCAAATATCTAGGTTCTGCACAAAATAGGGGCGTGTTAACAATTTAAAATAGAAAAAAAACTTATTTTCTACTACCTATCATCATATTAAATTTCATCAAAATCTATCCAGTGGTTTTTTCGTGATGCGGTAACAGACAGACAGACAAAAATTCTAATAACTATAGATTCGGCCTCTGTATCCATTATAATGACTATTTTAATAAGATTTTCCAAAAAATATTCAATATACAGATTCGACTCAGAATTTTATTAGTATAGATTTTAACATAACATGGACAATCATAAATATATAATCTTGTCACTACTCACTTGCATGGCACTGTAATCTGAAGTGCTTAGAATTACATATCTTATAGCACGTACAAGCATATTATGCTTGTCTTTGTAAGTGTTGATACCGTTGCGCTAAATGAAAACGCTTTTTTATTGTAATCATAAGGCAATAATATATTTTCTATAAAAAAATCCGAATCTATTAAAATAATGGAATATTTGAACTATAAGTAGCAAAATTTGTAAATAAAATATATTTTTTATTTTAACGGTAACAAGTATTCGAGATGGAGCGGCCAAAATAGTTAAATCGAGATATTTTAATCTTCGGTGTACATTAAATGTTTTGTAGAATCTACTGTATATGAATATCTAGATGTATCTACATCGTATCGTAGTCTTAGGCAATTCTGATATCGTGGAATTCATACAAAAAAAAACTGTATACTATTTTATATATACATTTTTTTTATTTATATATACATTTATTTCTACAGCTGGGGAGAATTTACAAAATCAAAATCATCGTCAGCAAGTGTTCACCACTGAACTGAATGTTTGTTCCTCTTAGTTTCGAGGAATTTTCTTTTTCAGTGGTGTTTCAGTTATTTAAATACATCACGTAATTAGAAATTGATTAATTATTTGCTTGTGCTTCGCTTTCAATTACACTTTTTCCATTAAATACGCTATTAAATTAAGAAATTTAAACGAACTGGTAATTTGAAATATTAGCGCGTTTAAGCAAACAAAATTCTGTATAATATTAATATACCTAGAAAACAGTAAAGTTGAAAAAAACATATATGTACCTTCTAATAGCCAAAATATCAGAGTTATAGGCAACAGATTCATATCGTCCATATCTAAAAGCAGGTTCGGCTCGTAATTTCACCAAAGTTTTATACACATTTAAATGAGATCTTTCCATGGCGCGTTGAGTTTCAACATTTAAAGTTTCATAACCCTCTGCAACTGGTAGCCAAGTTTTGTCAGCAGTTGAAAAACCTAAGTAATAATGTTTCATTAATAAATTGTAGATAAATGTGTGTATGTGTGCATTCGGCCCTTTTTAATGTCCCACTGCTGAGCACGGGCCTTCCTTCAATACGAGACCATAGTCCACCACGCTGGCCAAACGCGGGTTAGCGGATGTTACATGTCTTTCGAAAATTTACTACGTTCTTTCAAACGTGCAGATTTCCTCACAATATTTTCCTTCACCTTAAGACAAGTGGTAATCATGTTGGAAATAATTCGCACGTGAAAATATCAGAGGTGCGAGATCCGGATTTGAACCCGCTTCACTCGGTTTACCAAGCAAGCGCGTTACCATTAGGCTACCACTGCCTATAAATATATAATTTAATAAATTATATAACATGATAAAGGTTTAATTTCCGAAAATTATAGATAATACAGTAATTATACTATATTAGTGATTAACGATTCATTTAAATACTATTATTATGTATTTACAAACAATATTATTTATGTTACTATACTTTTTTATGTATATAATTATATCTTACCGGCATTCTTCTCAGCGCTCCATTGAAATGGTGTACGTTCAGGGTCACGTGAAGATGATGCATAATTAATTGGATCATCCGTATTACACGCTTGCGGGTCAACTGTATCTTCCCAGCTTACGAAACCGTCCACCATCCCTATTTCTTCTCCCTGTTAATTAAATATTAATTTCCTTAATGTTGAACATGTCCACACAGTATTAAAATTTAGAGATGTTACTATATTTACCATGTAAGTAACAGCAATACCAGGAAGGAGGAGCACAATCATATTCATACCATCAACTAGTGTTGGACTAAATCTGGAAGCTACTCTGGTATTATCGTGGTTTCCAGTCTAGAAAAATATAAATATTTTGAAAATATATATCGATAGTTTCCAATAAGATCATCAATTGTTCAAAAAGTCTACTTACGACCCAGTTAGCGAGTTTATCCATTGGTTTAAAAGTCAAAAATTTATCAATTGCATATTTAATTTCGGCTGCAGAAGAATCACCGTTAACATCAGAAATAAGCACAAAGTTGAAAGGCACTTGAGAACCTTCACGTTCACCTTCGCCGAAATATCTCATGGTAATTTGTGGACTAGCGTATACTTCAGTCATCATAACTCTTGTCAAGCCATCTTTTTTTGTATACTCATCGAAAATTTCTCTCCATTGGTATACCATGTCATAAGTCTCGTTTTGGTCCTTAGTATAAATATGTTCGAGATAGTCATAACTCTCTGGATCATCGACCCAACCAGTTTTAGGTTCATCTGGGTATTTACCACCAAATTCTTTCTTATCTACTTCAAATAAGTGAGCAATAGCATCGACACGGAAGCCAGCTACACCCTTATCGAACCAAAATCGTAGAACGTTTTTCATTTCCTCGACTACATCAGGATTGCGGTAGTTGAAATCTGGTTGACCAATTACGAATTGATGCAAGTAATATTTACCAACTTCCTCTCTATACTCCCAAGCACTTTTACGAAAAACGCTATTCTAAAAAGTAGAATAAATTATTTGAGAAAAATTAAGTAGAATCAAACTAAAATATACTAATACTAATATGCTAATAATGTTACTAAATAATAATTTACTAATATACTAATTATTAATATACTAATAATATTATAAATGTGAGTTTGTGAGTATGGATGTTTGTTACTCTTTCACGCGAGAACGGTTGAACGAATCAGGATGAAAGGTACAGAGATAGATTATAGTCTGGAATAATAAATAGGCAACTTTTAATCCCGGAAAAATGTACAGTTCCCGTGGGATAGGTTTGTCTCAGTTTTCCTAGAGACGAACCAGAGCGAAGCGAGGGTGAGCCGCTAGTATACTAATGAGAGAAAAAAAGTCAAATAAAATATACTATTAATCAAAATACCCAATTATTTGGTGGTTTCATATTGCCATTTTCATCTATTTCTGGATCTTCCCATACAAAGTAATCGTAATACTTTTCGTGCCCCTTCAATGCCTCTTCAAACCAAACACTCTCATTGCTGCCATGATTAGGTACAAAATCGAGAACGATCTTAATATCTTAAACAAAAAATATTTAAAGTTGTAGTAAAACCAATTTGAATTATAAAACTTAGAATATTAGAAATATTTTGAATGTGAAAAACTGACCTAGTTCTTTAGCTTTAGCTATTAAGTTTTCAAAATCTTCCATGGTTCCATATTCATCATGGACATCGTAAAAATCAGCGATGTCATATCCAAAGTCATACATAGGTGACTGGAACATTGGAGACAACCATGTCGCTCCCACACCTAATTCCTTCAAATATTCTAATTTCGAAGTAATTCCTAAAGAAAAAAATTATTAATTAGAGAATTTTTTGCAAATGTTTGGACTACGTAGAAAGTTTATTTCTTCATTAATTTTTTCTCACCTTTTAAATCACCAACTCCATCGCCATCACTATCCATGAAAGACCTTGGGTAAATTTGGTAGAAAACGGTTGTTTCCCACCAGTCTAACTCCCTTGCTTCATTTGCAAGGGCGAGGACAAACAGTGTGGGTAACAATATTAAGTTATGTAACCTAAACCACAAAAATATATAGTACATTAATCGCTATTTATAATAGTAATGTCAGTTTATAAAATAATTTTAATTTCCTCACCTCATACTGTCTACTGAAATAGTGTTGAAAAACAAGAAAACCTTTTATACTTAAACAATATCTACAGATTGAGATAATTTTAAGAGATTCGATAAACGGATTAGGAAAGGTAGACAATTCAAAAAACACTATATAACTTTTTATGTTTAAAAATCATAAATGGATTATTAATAATCAATGTTGCAACAACCTGCTTAAAAGATAACTCCTATTCTTATCGTTCCCATAGCTGACAACATGTTTGGACCTTGGCCTATAAATGTATGGCCCATAATGTATCTATTTTGTATATGACTCTCAATTTAAGCTATCTTTTTTTCTTATAAGTTCAGCTATTTTAAAATTAATATAAAACTATTAAAATGTAATTAAAGAAAAATTGCTTTTGGTCTAAAAACTCGATATTACAATTCAGAGGAGCAATGCGAAGAGCGCACTTTTGTCACTATTATACAGATTAGTACGCAGTTATGTGTCTAATAAATAAACAAAATACATATATTTGTATGTATAATATATATTTAATAAACAAAATTATAATACTCTAGCGGCTTAGCCTCGCTTTGCTCAGGTTCGTCCTTAGATATGTTTTAACGGTTAGTCTGGAATGGATATAGTATATACATATTATATGTAATATGTATACATAGGTACGAGTATGAGTTGTGGTGAGTTGTATTATAATTTATAACGTATTTTCCCGTGGCAATGTGATAATCTCTGGTAAAAAGTAGCCTATGTCATTTTCTGTCCCTCCCAACTATCTCACAACAAATCTGTCACTCTGTTTTGTCGTGAAAATAGGACAAACAAACAAACACACGTTCACATTTATAATATTAAGTATGGATATCATCTAAAGTAATGTGTACATATATTTCCATGAGTATTTGTCAGATAAAAAATGTTATCAAAACATAACATCATATTTATTGAATCGTAATCGAAGAACCATTTTTAGTCTTCACCCAATGGTGGAAGTACACCAAAATCATTATTGAAAATTTGAGAAAAACATCTATACAGATAAATAAAATTGTAGTGTCTGTTTCTAATGTCAAAAATAACAGATTTTTTCCAAATGTATAGGGATATATATTTTCTAAATGCATATGCATATACGTATACACGGTACATATACCAAAACAACATTTTTTACAATTTTTGTCTGTCTGTCTATGTGTTTGTGCCGCTTATCTCTGAAATGGCTAGACCGATTTTGACGGGACTTTCACTGGCAGATAGTTAATGTAATAAGGAGTAACTTAGGCTACTTTTATTTTAGAAAAAACATAAAGGTCCCACGAAAAACAATTAAAACTCATGAATGAATAAAATATACCTATCTATACAAAAACTGTTTCAATTTTTTGTTTTTGACAACACTAAAACTCATTAAACGCACTAACTTAATCAAAAAAAAAAAGAAAAACGGGGGACAAACGGAGGAGAAAAGGTATTGGACTGTTATTAAGTTATTAAGATCAATTAGTACATAGATTAAGATGTAATTAATGTAATGAATTATTCAACGTCATTATATGCTTAACATCTATAATGTATTAAAATCCGTATTTCGCTTAAACTATGACATAAATTGTTCTTGCAGTTAGAAAGTACGGGTTTTTAGCAAAAGGACACATATTACCGATTCGATATCGGCTCATAAAAAGTTTGTCGTGTTACATCTTAAGTAAGGTTGCATTTTTATATATTCAGCGTTTTAATAGAAAATAATATATTTGATTAATTTGTAATGATTTATGTAAAAGGCACTTAGTTACGTGGCCTTGGCCGATAGGAATGTGTTTTAAAAAAAATAAAAAAGAGCGCGGATATTCATTTGTTTTCCCGCGCTTTTACACAGATGTCGGTATTTCCCTGTAGTGTACCTGTGAAAATTATGGTTATAAATTATGTAACTCACTGACGATTTTAAAAGTTTTGAATATAAGCAAGGAATATCTGAATGTTTTATTAGTGATCCTACACATATTCGTTGTCGTTCTTATACTATGAAATTTTACTTGTTAATGTTGCCTAGATTTACAAGCCAACATTAACAAGCCCAGTTTCGTATTGGAACATTTGTAATTCAAGTACTGTAAGTTTATACTGTGTCTAGCGACTCTTTAGGTACTAAACAATAGCCCATGTGCTATTTCAGGTCATAGCAGCAATAATTACAACCAAACGTGGTAACCACTTTTAACGCTGAGAAATGCATTTACGTATACCACCTACAGGCGATTAAGAAGGATTCGCCTACAATTGCCAATATTACCTACTAGTCCAACGGAACCTCCTCCGTCTCTAAGAGGCTTCGCAGGATGGCTTACGCACTCAACCACGACGACTCGACGTCAGACCTACCGAAGCAGATCATTTTTTCTCGTACAAGTTAACTGGAGGAAGTCCTATTGCCTTGCTCCCGCAAACCACCATAGGGAGCTAGGTATGTATAGTATTATGTGATCTGTGATATAACTGAAAATCAGCGCTCCTCGAGATTTCGGTCTTAGCAGCATCGGCTGAGTTATTATTAACCTTTGCCATGGATTAAGTTAAGATTTCATTGGCTGTGTTGCTTTTTTACTATTTCTTATGGCAATTTGGTTTTAAATAAATAATTTATTTATTTATTTAAAACCAAAATCGGTTTATCCGTTTGGGAGTTACAATACCACAGACATATCTATCTATGTATACTTAAGCTCCCCTACTGTCTGTTTGCGTCGGAGGCTATAATATATAATATTATATAATATTAGATGTCGATGTCAAGTCGTAAAGAATATGAATTATATAGATATCCATACTAATATTATAAATGTGAATGTGTAATGTTCGTTTTGTCTGTTCTCTTTCACGTCACAGAGTAACGGATTGACGTGACATTTTGGATGGAGATAGTTGGAGGTCTGAAGAGAGTGACATAGGCTACTTTTTACGGCGATAGGTTATTTCATCTCACGGGAAATCACATTATGATGGAACCCACAACAACTCATCATACCTATGTATATATGTATATAATATAATCTATTTTATACTAACCGGTATAAGATAAGGATACAGAATACCACATACGGTGAGTTTAATTATACTACTAGCGGCTCACCCTCGCTTCGCTCGGGTTCGTCGCTAGGTACGTTTTAAATAGATATAAATAGTTATTAGCCAGTGTTATTAGCCATATAAATATTTTTTTTTCGTTAATTTTTCTGACGTTTTAATACTTAGGTATTAACCTATTCCGGAATGAGAGAAATCCAAAAATTCAAATATCATAAAAATTGGTTCAGCCGTTCTTGAGTCTTGTATACGGGAACGCAGTCGAACGGGCTAAAATCCTATGTCCGTCTCCTGGTTCTAAGCTACCTCCCCACCAAGTTTCAGCCAAATAGGTTCAGCCGTTGTTGAATTATAAATAGTGTAACTAACACGACTTTCTTTTATATATATAGATTTTTTGTCTATATATTAACTAAACTGGAGGAAGTTTCAGGACACTATAAATAGGGCCTAAAATATTATATTTTAAAATAGAAACTATTTTAGTAACTTGGAAATAAAGATAATAAGTTATCTAATGATAATCTACTGGCAGACCCGATCACGCGTTGCTGTGACACACTTATATTTTTTTTTCTTTAGCTGGGGGGTAGAATATGTAGCTTAGGGTAGCCATTTCTCAAGTTCTCTCTCCAGAATCCCTCTCTGGATATGAAAATTGTTAATTTTGCAATAAAAAAGGAAATAATCGAAATAACAACTATCCAATCTTTTAAGTTATAATAAATCATATTTAAATAAATACGTCTAGTACTACTAGCCAAGTCTACTGCAATTGAGTCTTGCCATAGATTGGGCGCAAAAAAGGAGTCAGCTCGCCCCATCTTAGTTAGATTCACCAATCTGCATCTTCGATCTTGCGTGTGGAAGGCCAAAACAAGTTTAAAAGGCTCCAAAATAACAGTGACTGAGTTTTTAACTAAGCCCCGACAAGAAATATTCATACCGGCTCGGAACCACTTTGGAATGAGGAATTGTTGGTCGGCAGACGGCATGATCATTATTCTTCTTCCAAACAAGTCCCGAATCAAGATATCATCGTTGTCTGAGTTGAAGAGAATTATTGCACAAAGTTCAACAATGAAGCCCGCTGGCAAAAACTGAATCTTGTTTACACCACTTTAACTTGGTCGGTTTATACTTTAACGCTTAATAAACTTATTTACTTTTTTACTTATAATAAACTTATTTACTTTAATAAACTTATTTACTTTTTTACTTATGAAGGGTATGTACAAGTAGGTAACGTTTTATTTAATTTATATATATGTTAAATTTACAATTTCAACTTTTCTTGTTTGTCACTTGTCAGTTGTCACAAAATTGAAAATGTCAAAAGTTACGTTTCGTTTCCCCAGTGCCCACTGGTGTTGCCTGTAGTCTATTGTTAATTGTATATGTAAACTGTCTGCTCTAAAATTTTCTTTTTTTTTTAAATGTATTGTTTTTTTTTTAACTTTAGTCAGCTTATGCAGGTGGATAAAATTAGTTGTACTTTTATTAATATTTTTGATATCAACTTATTTTGTTTTATATATTTATATTTTAATATATGTATTTTATATACATATTTTTTTTATATACATAATATATATTCTTCTTATTTTTAAGTACTGACCTATTGTAGAATAATGATTGATAATGAATATTTTCAACCGACTTCAAAGAGGAGGAGGTTCTCAATTCGAATGTATGTTTTTTTATGTTTGTTACCTCAGAACTCCGTCATTTGTTAACCGATTTGGACAATTTTTGTGTTGTTTGAAAGTGTATACTTCCAGATTGGTCCCATTTAAATTTCAAAAAAAAAATACCACCCCTAAGGGTGGAAAAATAGCGAATGATGAATTTAACCTACTTTTAATTGTCATATTGACTTGAAACTTTGCAAGTGTTTCTATTTCCATTGATAGTTCAGTGGTTCGGTATT